AAAAAAAAAAAACATCGGAGTTAGTTCATTCCATTTTATGAGAGGAAATGTTAATAGGTGTTTTGGTTTGTTAGGTATTTCGTAGTTTGAGATCTGCATTACTGTCATGTGCTCTAACTCAGATTTTTTTATTCTTTTTTAATTTGAGTTTCTCAATGTTTTAATAATTTTAGGTGTTGATTTAATGATTCGGTCTGGAAGATAGGCGTTATCCTTTGGTAGATAGTTTACAGTTTGAATTTAGTTGGTTGTTTTTGACAGACAGCTGAATGAACCAGTTGTAGAGAGTGCCGAGATTGATGGCTTTCTGTTGCAGCTGCAAAATGAGAAGAAAGAGGACAGTGTAAAAGAAAGGGAAGAAGGTGGCTTGCATATGTACTCTATCGGAGATGTAGAAATGTAAGCATCTCCTACGATTTTGTATTGATGTCCATGGTTTTTTGGTGCTTTGTGCTTGAATTGTTTCTATTGGTCTGCCTAAGTGTCTTAACGATTGAATCAAGGGCAATTTTATTGCCAAACAAGAAATTCCAAGCTCGGTGAAATGAAAAAGTGCACATAAATAAAAAAGATAAGTGATTCATGTTTGAAACTATTGTCTAAAAAGCAAGATTGTGGTAAGATTCAGTGTAAAATTTTCAACTAAACTCAAGCCACATATAGTTACCTTTTCTCGTACTTACTTTTTAAGGCATAATCACGATGTGATTTCTTTTTACAGGTCAAACGTCTATGATTGATTCTCTCTAAACCTTCCCAACCTATTTTCAAGTATACTATAAATGGTGTTTGAATTTGCCTTCCTGTATATCACATCATAATTGCAGACGAAAATGATCTTTTGACCTCATATTTTCAAACTTCAATTTGTTGTCAACCAGCTTCCCTTTTTTCCTTGGAATTGTGTTTGATATTTTCTCTACCTTTTTTTAAATATAAAGGCACATGAGTTTTGGGATATAATAACATGTACACTGGTTCAATTGGTGTTTGTTTTTCTCTATATCCTGTATGGTTATGTAATAGTTGACGAGGCTGGAAGAACTGCTTGATGTTAGTTAAGAAATCATTTTATGCAGGCACTTAAATAATGATGATGATACAAAGGACGATACTCCTGGAACTCCAATAAATCACCATCATGATCTTTTATCTCCTTCAACTGATCCAATATCTTTAATGTATGAGAATGTTTTATCTTCTGGGAAAGCATCAAAATCAAAACTAATAACACCCTTTTCAAAGCGAACAGATAGGTTTTCAGTGAAATTTAGCATCAACACTCTCCCTAGTGTAGAGAATAGGAAGCAGGAACCTCATCACGAGTATACCGAGAATGATGAAGATGATGTTGTCAGAAGAGTTCCACAACGTGAAAGGTGTTCATTGGTCATTCATGGATCAGGACTCAAACCGTGTTGTAAATTCATGTATGATAGAATGGAGGATAGGGTATGTGATGTATAGTATGACTCCTAACTAAATCATTACCATTTTACACTATTTCTTTTTTTGAAGTCTGATTATTTTTATTTAGCTTAATGCAATAGAAAACCGAATTAGAAAACATACAAGGGCATTTGTAGCTTCTGGTCTCTATGAAGAACCAACAGACCCCACATCTGCTTCACAGGTAAATATAATACTTCCCTTTCTGTCCCATGCACACTGAAATTTGAAGGCAAAATTATGTTTTGTCATGGCTATACACCAACATTTTGAAACACCAAAATTTAATTATGACTCTTGGATAAAAAGATTGTTATGATTTTTTTCTTTTCTTAAC